GCAACAAAACCGCCATGCTACGCAGGCTAGGTGCCGCTACGCCGCCACCCGCAAGCCTTGGAAACGTGGACGACGGTCATCTGCATTGACCGACTTTGCAATATAAAACAAAGGAAGTGTTGACAACATAGTGCAGGACCGTAGATCGGGAACTATAAGAAATCCCTGGAACGTATTACTCGCACGCCATCGTGTGTCCATCTCGCTAATTAATATGGCATTTTATTCCCACAGGAGCAATTAACACAATCAAAATATGATTTTGTCTCCTCTAAAGATAACCAGAACCTCCGTGAATACATCATCGATTTTATTGTAAGAATAGCCCCTATGATGATTACGTCAGACGAGTAAATTTCACCAACAAGCCTCGTTTGTGAACAAAATTTTTGCATTTGCACTTTTTGTGCGTGGGTATTTTATTGGTGAAATTTGCTTGTGTGACGTAAACATGCATAAGGGCTATTACTGATGTCTTTTCAAACAGAGCAACTTCAAAACACTCGGCCACTTTACTCAAATTTATTTACACTGTTTGAGCCACGCCGAAACGTTTCTTTGTAACTACCACGAAAAATAATCAAACTAAAACCAAACCAAAGTCTCCAGGTGATTAAAAGCAAAAGGCCGCCCTCGAGGAGAACGCGACACCACAAAAATATTGTTTTCGAAACGTAACGGCATTAGCAGAGATTCTCAGTGAACGGATCGCAACAGTATTTTTCTAAATAAATATAAAAAAGAAAAAGAAAAGCCCTCTTCCAAATAATCGGTTAATACGTACTGTGCTTTCCAGTTTCCAGGACGTACTAAAAGTGTCGGAAATGGGAATTTTGCTACGCGTGTTTTATTTGTAACGAAAAACAAATCTTTTACTAATAAATGCCGAAAAATATAACTGGCGGGGGGTCTCCTACAAGAAAATCACCGATTAAAAAAGACTCTAAAACAGACATATAGCGTTTATTAGCTTGTAAACCCCTTAATTTCTCAGTTATTTCGCAAGTGATTTCATAACACTTGGTGTCTAACTCACAGAATCACGGGCGTGCCACCACCTAGTGTAGCCCGCGAGCAAGCTCTCCTATTTGGGCGAGCGAAGCGAGCCGCGCGAGAACGCTCGAGCGAGCAGCGAACGCGCGAGCGACCGGCGAAGCCGCGAGGAGCCGGCGTGAGTGTTTCTGTTGCATGATAAAACTTGCACTTAGGAGTTTAGAATACCACAGCATTACAATAAAACTCCCTTACTCAAGCTAATTTTAACCGTTAAATTTCCACCTGGTGCGCAAGTGATTTCATAATGCAGTGGTGTCTCACTCACAGAATCACGGGCGTGCCACCTAGTGTTTCTGTTACTTTAAAAATTGCACTTGGGAGTTTAGATCACCATGGCATTACAATAACAATCGCTTACTCGAGCTAAAACATATCAGATATATTAACCATTTTTTTTTTCGCCACCTAGTGTTTCTGTTGCTTTGAAAAATCACACTTATAAAGGGACTGGTTGACGATAATGTGCATGTGTGAGTTCTGACAGTAGCGGATTGTTTTTCAACCAATCGGAAGCGAGTTAGATGCACGCAAGTAAATAATTACTTGTTCGCGACTCGAGAGTATTTCCGGGCATTTGGTTTGATTTTATTTATCCCCATAATTCAAGTTTATTCTTTGCTACTCCCCAGATATATATATGTTGCAGCCGATAAGAATAAGATTTACAGCCCTGTCCTGCTTTGAAACAAACATTTACCAAAATGTATTTTTACAAGGTCGTACCCACGCTAACAAAACAGTCACCGATCGGCAAACAAAATTTGTAAACAAACATCTTATTACTCTTTTCTCAGTTCGCCTTATATAAAACCAGAAATACCTAAAAATAGCGCCTGACCGGTGACAAAAACACAAACGTATGAGTATAAAGATTATCCTTAACTGAGCATAAATTTCAATTGCTTATCAGCAAATTAACAAATTCATTCTCGTTGCATCGGGTCAGTGTTCCGCAAAACAAATGTTATCGAGTAGCACACATAAAGAAACTAGATTATAAACAGAACATTCAGGCAATAATTTATTTTAAAAACATCAATTCTTACACATATACGATCGTAAAGCAAAGATACAAGGAACATTTCAAGTGTACCAGATCGGTGAAGATCGCGCGGCCTGTTGCGGTATAACTACAGGTCGGAGTCAAAAATCAAATCAAAGTTGGACGAACTCATGCCTTTAACCACTTTCCAAGTGTCGTGTATTCTTTTCGTATGCCACACACTACCCCTAGAACCATACCAGATCGATAGGCTAAGCTTCTCTATCTCCAGAGACTCTTGAGAACGTCCTGTTGCCGGACGGCCACGATGCTCTTCTGAACCTCCATGATCAAAACATTATTTTTTGCGTCTTTTTAAAACGTAACCAGTCAAACGACACAACCACACGTTAATCACCACTACCGAAGTATAACTAGACCAGCCAAAGCGACGGATAAAACGAATAAAACGAAGGATTTTAAATGATTGTACCGGTAATGGCGATTTCGAAGTTAGTGTTAGGCTCGATTTCCGCCGTCTCCCGGGTCCGGTCTTTGATCCTCCCCGAAGAGAGACGGCTGGACGCGTGACCCGTTGACCTTGTCTGTGACGTAATTGGAAAATTGATAATTCAGGCGTCTTCGATGTCACCGGTGGAAGTGAAACCGGTCTCCAATTTTCTTATTTATTTGGCTCAAAATTGCATCAAGCGCTCCCTTACCCACCCAAATGACTTTCGAAATAGCTTTTTCGGTACACTTTTCCATACATTGTGAAAAATATTCTCCGTTACATTTCTGTACACGGCGACACGTAGTTAATTTTCTTTGATCTTCGAATATTGGTTTCGTCTTCTGTGGGTCCGAACTGACTGATTCTCGGGAGCGGACCAAATTAAATGGAAAAGTTTCTGATTTACCGGACAGAATTTCCAGCGTGTTGAATGTTCCTTTGTCAAATATAAACGTGGACGGTTACATCTGTAACGAACGCAGTTATCGAGACTTAAAGCGCCTTGAAAAGATCCTTGAAGAGGCAAAATCTCTCCAACAACAATCATTAAAGGAAACGTTCACAACAAACAATCGAACAAAACGTTGTGTTCCTTCCTACTCTAGAATTTCGTCTAGGGTCTCCAAGCTGTCGAAATCGCTTCGCCATGCTATGGATAAATTTTGTTGTGATAATTTCTGCGACAATCTTTGCCAGACGAAAATCTGCAGGCGGTAACATGATTGGCTTAAACTAACAAAAGAAATCGCACGCGTCCAGCCGCTCTTTCGGGGGATGAGTGAGGGCTCATTTTCCCGAACAGCGGCTGGTAATCGAGCCTAAGTTAGTGTTGACCCGACAAATTTATTCTGAAGAGACAAACGGCGCGCATGCGCATTATCGTGACCAGTCCCTTTAAGAGTTTAGAACACCATGGCATCACAATAACACTCGCTTACTCAAGCTAAATCATATTAACCTTTAAATTTCCACTTGGTGCGCAAGCGATTTCATAATGCCGTGGTGTCTGACTCACACAATCACGGGCGCGCCACCTAGTGTTTCTGTTTAAAAATTGCACTTAAGAGTTTACATCACCATGGCATTACAATAACACTCGCTTACTCGAGCTAAAACATATCAGCCATTGTCAGAGAAAACCGGGCGGTGCCAAAAGATTGGGGTCAGCCGATTTCCTTTATTTTTTCAGCATTAAGAACCAAGCTGATAAGATTAACTTTGGTGACATTAACAAGATTTCCCGGCTTTTCACTCTCGAGATTGACCACCCCCCTTGTTTTTGGCCAAGGGAAGCCCTAAAAACCACCAAAAACAATGGCAATTTCTCGGGTCTAAGACAATTTTTCCTTAAGGAATTACTGCACAGATTTTTTTCTGAAGCTAAAGTACCTTAAAATAAACGTTTTGGATGCATAAAATCAAGTTTTTAGTGTAACGGTAATTTTGCCCAAGGGTTTTAATCCGGGTATGTTGCGTGACTGTAACAGGACAGCGAATTTCGGCGATTTTCTAAGCCCATTTTCTTGAAAATGCGGCGGTTTATTTTTTATTTAATTACAGATTTAAACAGTCTATACCCTCCTAAATCAAAAACAAAAGTTTATTGATCGGCACAAGAAACTCTTTTCACGCGAATTTTGTTGGAAAATGTCAAAGATCGCTCTTACGGCTAACTGCTCGCTGAAGTTTAAATAGCGGCAATACTGCATTATAAAGGTACTAATCCATTTTAAATGAGTATTTTATATTCCACTTAGGTTTGAATAAAGGGAAAATAACTATAAAATACTATTGCTTTAACGTAAGGGTTATACAAGACTGCCATCATGCACGCAAAGGTCTCAATTACTTGGTGCTTCGATGATTATTGTCTGGCCTATGCGAGTTAGCCAACAGGACGATGTATGTGCTGTCCTATCTAGTGATAAAATCATCACGACTTTTGTATCACATCATCCAACAGAAATTCTCAAAGTTTTCGCTTTGTATGCAAAGTGTGTTACATACCCTGCGAGGAGATGCTACATTTTGTCTGTGTGACCTGTCGTGCGAAAAGTAGCCTCTACCGACAACCGTTCAAATCCGTCCAGAAATCTGGACGAATAAATTTTAAAAAACCGGTTTTTTCCTTTTCTTGACCGGTTTCGAGCATTGCGTGAGTCTTGCTTAGCAGATCAGAGTTGTCGCAATTATTTTTATTCCCACGAAACTCGCGCCATTTGACGACAGACGTGACAATTAATTTTGCTTGCGAATGGCGTGACGAATTTCGCGCATGCACGATAGAAAATTGAACGGTTGTCGGCAGAGGCTACTTTTCGCACGACAGCTCCCACAGCGAAAATGTAGCCTCTGCTCGCAGGATATTTGTTACATCGATCACTACTGACAAAGCCCAACAATGTATTTTATAAAATGCGAGAGAAGAATACGTAGTGCAAAATTCAGTTATTTCCGACATGAGCACAACTTAGCGTAGGCATCAAGTGGTTCAGTAAAAGTACGTTTTCTTGAGTTGCTACCATTTGTTCGCAGACTTAATGCTCTGCATACTTCTCTCAACTGTGCTAACTTCAGCGAACTGAGCTTTCCAGCACGCGAAAGTTCACAAACGTTTACTGCTTCTACTTTAATAGGGTGACTGATATTTTGTTCAATGTCTCTGTAAACCTCCTGGCGTATGGCTTGAATGTAGTCTTCTGATTCAAGGGCTATGAGGTCTTCGTCTGTTACTTCTTGTTCCTCCTCCTGGCTCTCTATTTCATCAGCTTGTCTTTGGCGCTGCAACGCTGACATCCTTGCGAAAAAGTTACTAATTTGTTGAGCGGTTCTCCATTCGTCTGGTTTAAATTGTAACGTTCCACTGCTATCTCTGATACTCTTCATCTCTCTAGCCACGTGAATTGGATCAGCCTTTTGCCCTCCCGCTACCCCTTGGTTAAATTTCTGAACAAGAAAGGCTTTTACTTTCTCTTCCATCCTGTTGGTCCGCTTAGTTGATTTAAGCGCCCACCCTTTATTACGGCGTTCTCTAGCACTGGAAGGCCCGGCTTCTTCAAATGCAATTCGCTGTCTATCTCCGCTAGCCACATGCATCTCTCCGACTCGGTCAGCCCACTTCTTTCGTGCCGCATCGTACACAGACTCACAATCTAGATCTGACGCACGTACATGCTTCCCTGCGTCCATGTGAGCTTCCGCTTCTTCTCGAGTCTTGAACGTTAGCACGCATGTACTTTCACTGCATGAGAATATTTCTCCTCGTGGACTGGAAGCATGGCTAACTGAGCCAAGATTGTTGCTACGTGGACCCCACTCCTTTAGGACTTTCAATCCAGTTTCTTCCTGTGGTACAACTTCAAGCTGACTGTATGATAAGAATCTGCCGGGTCCAACGTTGAATGCACGCCAAGCGCGTATTCCGTTTTCCTCAAACGAAAAGTTGTTAAGAAGGCTGATACCTGGTATCTTGTTGGCGGTGATTTCTTTATTAGTGTCCACTTTGACAACTGCCGCCCTGACTCCTTTTACTCCTCCATGCGACTCTAGTGCTGTCTTCATGTCTTCCGCAGTGATGACATTGTGTTTTTCATTGACCCATCGTCGTAGGTGTGCCTTCATAGGAGCGGTCTTTCGGTCACAGATGTCTTTTCCGGACTGTGGCTCTGAAAAGTCGTAACGCAGAATTGTCATGCTGGTTCGTTGACCAATGAACGGAAGACTGAGCAAAAGAGGTCCACTATGGTAGCAACCTGCGTTATCGGATCTCAGGAAAACATTTTCGATCTCCGGTGATTCTTTCTTGATGGTATTTAAAAGATGCTCTATTATAGAGGCTACAGCAAAGCTGTTCTGCGTGCAGTTATCGAACAGATGGACAAAACATTCCACTTGGAATTTTTCAGTATGCTTAGTGATCACTGCACTCACATGCCAGCTTCGTCCTCGTTTTCCGAAGAAATCACTCATTCGTTCCCGATAACGTTGTGGGAGGTATTTCATGGCCCAATCCATAACGATTAAACATGAAGCTGAATCAACATGTACAAGAGCAAATTGCTTTCCTTCTTCTTGATTTACTGTGCGGAGCAAATGCGCCTTCCACTCCTGGATAGATGCCAAACAGAGTTTGTAGTCGTGGCTTAACCGCCATCTGTGCTCCTCCGGCATCTCAACACGGTTGATCTCTGATTCAATTTCCTTCAAAACTGTCTCTAATGATTTGCATTGCTCGCAGTCAGTTTCATGTTCGTGCTGACATATGCTTTGCAGGTTGGAGTCACTTGTGTCACCTAGGGCATGTGCAGTGCAGTGATCAGCACAAGTTTCCTCTCTGCCAACATGGGACTTAAACTCAGTCTTAAGGTATCTCTTTGCCTCCTTGATTTTTTGTTCTGCATCCTTTACCCAGGTAGCCTCCGATCCATAGTCTCCAAGCGTCTTAAGCACGTCAGTGACATTGTCTATGGCCTCCGTCCCTTCTGCTGTAGTGTTGTCGAGTCCCTGCAAAGATTTTTGCATTGAGGCACCACACACCTCTATTATTCTGTAGAGTGAACGCTGTCCTGCTGGTTCAAAATTCTGCTCTTTGCAGTAAACTGAGTATTGCTCAATTATTCTTGACGGTATCATAGTCCTTATAACTGCCGGAATGATAATGCTTCCTCCCGTATCGAGCTTAAGCACTTTTGTGCCAAATGCTACGTCCTGCAGCATCTCAGGTCTTGCGATGTAATCGATAAAATGATCAATTTGAACGGGTGAGATTCGGGAACGGAAAATTGGCTCTTGCGGAACAGGCAGACCTTCACCAACTTTGGTAGCATGCTGTCGAGCTTCATCTATTCGCCATTTTGAAAGTGTTGGTATCATGCTCATCAACTGGGACCTGCTAAAATCATTGGCAAAGAGAGAGAGTATCTGTCGTTTTGTTTGCCACGACTCGGCATGGTTATATGACTTGATCAGAACGTCGATTAGCCCAGATTTCGGATCAAAACTTCTACGTCTAGTGGCACCAGCAGAATCCTTATTTACTAATCTTTCCTGTCGAAGAGTGGTCCATAATTCCTCTTCCTGTCCAGGGCTAAGGACCGAAAGTGCTGTGCAGATGCTTTCTTTGGCCTTTCGCAGATAGTACTTTTGCTGTGTTGTCGATATATCATCCCAAGACGTATTCAAAGTTGACAGAATAGGTGAAATTCTTCCTCCAGATAAAGTGCTAATGGTATTGTTCAGTAGCTGCCTTCTCTGTTGCTGTTCCTCTACTTCGTCGGACCAGATACTGATTTCTTCTTCTGGGATACTTTGTTGGGATGATTGTGATGATGATGAAACCATCTCTTGTTCTGCATTAGACGTTACCAGAACCCCCTGATCTTCATTCTGCTGCGGCAGTTCAAATACATCTTCATCACCAGCCACTTGAGACTGTCAGTGCAATAAAAGGGATATTAATTACATTTCCATAATTTTTCTGTTACGTTGTTACCGAGAATGGAGCCACAGAAAAGGGAGTTACAGGACTCCTTAACAAGTAAAAACCACTAAAAGTTGCAAACAGACTAAAACCTGAAACCGAATTTTCGACTTGTTGTCATCCAAAAATTTTGCGACCATGGCAACGTGACGTGACGTAACGACTTCTCTCTATTGCATTCAAACCTTTCCCGGTACTAGAGCTTACCCCTCGTCCTTACAATAGAGAGATTTAGAATCACGGCAAACAGCAAACGTCGATTTGCCGCGTCTCTTTTATTGTAGTTTACTAGTCATGATATCTACACAAATAGAAGTTTCAACTGAAAGCGATCTATACAAAACTGATGTACTCACTATACCTTAGTCGCTTTATTTTGTTATAATTTTTGTTTTAATAATTTTTTTTAATTGATAGATTTGTTACGTAATAATATGTTAGAGCAAGCATTTATGAAAGTAAAAATGTTCTTCCCTTTCTCCAAAATAAAAATCTTTGTGTCACATTTACACCCTTCCCCCTCCCCCATAAAGGACACTCTCTACAACGCCCCCTCAAAAAGTGGCCGTCGTAGAGTGGTACTGGTCGGACTGCATCAAGCTTGCAGGTCGCTAAAAAACGTTAGGGTGGGGATAGCTAGTCCATCTAACTCCATCTATTTTCAAACTGAAAAAAGAGACATTAACTTTGGCAATGCTATCTATCGCTTTTTCGTTCTCAGTTCCTAGCTTCCCAGCAAATGATATTTTTGTTCCAAATTCCCTTCCCTCCCCCGAGTTTCCCATCCACGTTTTTTTCACGATTTTTCTGTTGTTCTTCTTTTGTTTTCTTTTACAGTCTTGGATAGGGTTTTAAATATTTAAACCTGTTGTTAAGTGTTTCAGATGCCTAGCTTAAATTGCGTGACTAAAGAAAGCAAATACACAACCTGCTGATCGCCCCTTCCTCTTTCAGAGTCTTCTTCATGGCGTAGTCTGTAATGCTCTGTGCGACACTTTACACAAATAGCTAATACAAATGAAATGGATAAAGATTAAAAATGTCACTCTTAATTCAAACCCCAAAAATCGAATTTTATACATAGTTTGTGGGACAGCTAAAATTTAGACATTGAGTTTCAATCTTGTCATCAGTGAAAGTGGAAAAGTACGAGCACTTAAAACATTTTAAGAAAATAGCGCGAGATGAATGATTATTTTTATTTGAAAAAATTTTCCTGTTATAAAATAATCTGAAAAACGTTTACAGTTGTAGTTTATAGTTCCTGTTCAAGTAGGCGTGTCACGTTGTAGCTTCTGTCACGACAACACTTGAAAAGACTTTTTGTGGCAAAAAAGGCTTCCGTTTAGCCTGCGAAGCGCAGACGTATTTCCGGTGGTCGCTTCTCTCCCTCCGTTATTTTTCGGAGGGAGAGAAGCGACGACCGGAAATACGTCTGCGCTACGCAGGCTAGCTTCCGTTCTGAATAAAAGTATCTTGCTTGCTCACCCCATCCTCGGAGACCCGGGGCAGTCAGTCTGTGCTTGAAAACTTTCTTCGCGCCTTTTCTCCCGACCCGACTGACTGCCCCTGGGTCTCCGAGGATGGCTCACCCTTGTTTGATTTATGGCACATCCAAGGAAATTTACCCCACCCCCCGCCCTTCTGTTGATATAGGGCCTCTTCATATGAGCCCGGTTGACCGGCTGGCTCGGTTGCCGGGATGAATTTTGCCTTGGGTTCATATGAGAAATTTCAGCCCGGTTTCCGAGATGAGAAAAGGTCAAAGATCCTGGATACGAGTTCTGGCGCCAAATATGGGAAACAAAGCAACATAGCGAAACACAAACATTTTAACTTTCGGGCCTATCTTGGCATCGGTAACTCTTAAAGCTGTATCACTGCAGTTAAATGGGATGCTTATGATGTGGAAAATACAGCAGGCAATGCAAGACGATGCCATCCGGACCGCCAGAATTCATCCCGCCGTTCATCCCAGTAACCGGGATGATGTGTTCATATGACAAAATTTCCAGCCCGCTTACCGAGATCTCGGGAACCGAGCCAGCCCGCCCTCTCATATGAACACATTGAAAACTTTTACAAAGGATTTAGAGGTGAGGCGAGATCTCGGAAACCGAGTCAGCCCGGTCAACCGGGCTCATATGAAGAGGCCCATAGTGGCGCCTTAAAATTTGCAACTTGATGCCAGCGCTTTCACTACAATAGTCATACTCGATACGCCTAGAGCCTAGAGCCTTTCGTGATATTTATGGGAAACGTAATTTACCAGGTAAGATCAACAAAAGGATTTTAAAGTAATAAGAGACACTCCCGGACCCAACTGGGACAGCAGCATTGTGTAAAGCAAAGATTTCCTTGGACGTTGCGTAATTGACACGGCGTGGGTCCTTGACCTGCTTGCGTTGACCTTCGTGCGATGGATAGCAACATGTCGAACTTTTACGACCTCTCCAGTCGACTGTCAGGTCTCTTCTGTGTTTAGGACAGATGGTCATGGCTGCTACTCTGTCTTGAGATAAATCGAAGTGTCCTGCTCTGTTCAAGATGAGCTCCTTCTCAGTGATTTCTATTCCTTCGGATCGCCATCCTCGCTTGCTACTCACACCAAGTCCCAGTAACTGTGGTGTTGTGTCTTCTTTACAAGCATCCAGCGGCAGAACATTTGTACTAGATCCGTAAGAACTACAAGGTGACTCTTGTGAAGCGAACGAACAGTTCATATTTTAAAGCAAGTCTGGTACAACGAAAGTACGCAAATTTCGGCGAGTCGTAAATGAAACCTGATAACCCAGCGGCGCGCGAGACATACAAATTTATAGATGTTGCTCGATCTCAAATTACGCAGCTACAATTATACGTGTAAGTCGTTTATTAATTTCTTAATTTCATATTTTGGCCAAGAAACATTTTCTGCAAAATCCAAGTAAAAAGTATTCTCCTGAAACTTTATATGACTGAAAATTCGTCGCACAGACAATTTAAAAATCGTCCATTCATTTCTTTATAATTAATTCTAATTAATATGTCTGCTTTATAATTTGTATCATACGTGTACGACTGCAACGGTTTCCGCTGTTCCAAAGTAAGGTTGATTTCTTTTCATTGCAGTATCCTTTCCAAATTATTTTTTTCTTATACGGGTGATGAAGTATATCCATTACCAAAAAGCAAGGTTACATGCTTTATGCAAAATACCGCAAAATCACGTTCGCGAAAATAGGCTTCCTCTGAAAAGAGTTTCTTGTACCAATCGATACTTTTTTCTTTTGACTTAGAAGGGTATAGACTATTGTAAAATTGAATTATTTAACAAATAAACCGCCGCACTTTCAAGAAAATGGGCTTAGAAAATCGCCGAAATTCGCTGTCCTGTTACAGTCACGCAACATACCCGGATTAAAACCCTTGGGCAAAATTACCGTTACACTAAAAACTTGATTTTATGCATCCAAAACGTTTATTTCAAGGTACTTTAGCTTCAGAAAAAAATCTGTGCAGTAATTCCTTAAGGAAAAATTGTTTTAGACCCGAGAAATTGCCATTGTTTTTGGTGGTTTTTAGGGCTTCCCTTGGCCAAAAACAAGGGGGGTGGTCAATCTCGAGAGTGAAAAGCCGGGAAATCTTGTTAATGTCACCAAAGTTAATCTTATCAGCTTGGTTCTTAATGCTGAAAAAATAAAGGAAATCGGCTGACCCCAATCTTTAAAACCTTTAATTTTCTTCCGTGCGCAAGTGATTTCATAATACTGTGGTGTCTAACTCACAGAATCACGGGCGCGCCACCTAGTGTTTCTGTTGCTTTAAAAATGCACTTGGTAGTTTACATCACAATGGCATTACAATAACACTCGCAAGTTACTCGAGCTAAAACATATCAGACATATTAACCATTAATTTTCTTCCGTGCGCAAGTGATTTCATAATACCGTGGTGTCTAACTCACAGAATCAGGGGCGTGCCACCTAGTGTTTCTGTTACTTTAAAAATTGCACTTAGGAGTTTAGATCACCATGGCATTACAATAACACTCGCTTATTCGAGCTAAAACATATCAGACATATTAACCATTAATTTTCTTCCGTGCGCAAGTCATTTCATAATACCGTGGTGTCTAACTTACAGAATCACGGGTGCGCCATCTAGTGTTTCTGTTCCTTTAAAAATTGCACTTAGGAGTTTTCATCACCGTGGCATTACAATAAAACTTGCTTACTCGCCGGCTAAAACATATCAGACATATTAACTATTAATTTTCTTCTGTGTGCAAGTGATTTCATAATACCGTGGTGTCTAATTCACAGAATTACGGGCGCCCCACCTAATGTTTCTGTTGCTTTAAAAATCGCACTTAGGAGTTTAGAACACCATGGCATTACAATAACACTCGCTTACTCGAGCTAAAACATATCAGACATATTTACCCTTAATTTTCTTCTGTGCGCAAGTGATTTTATTTTCCTGCAATATATAGCTTTTTTTGACTGGATAACGAGTTAAATAGCGGCAGCGGCGAGATTTGGTAATTTTTGGCAATTTCACTATTCGACCGAATCCATTTGATCGCTGGGTCTTTGTGTTTTCTGCCTCTACTATGACATCTTTAGGAATTTAGGCCGAGTTACTCCTAACAATAGTATTTCCGCAATGTATTGTATGTAGGCCGTTTGCACACGCTTGACATCATTGACAACAGATCATGCATAATAGTCATCAAACAAATGCAGTCGGATTAGAAGATCTAACGTTTTCTATATCAAAATGCCTACCAGACTGCCGATGAATAGTACGACTTACACCTTTTTTTCGTAATATCGTTAGGCTCAGAAACATTTTCAAGGCATAGGAAGACCGTCTTCCTCTCCCAATGTCATCTAAACCTACCCAGACGCACACACCGTCCTTTACGATCATCTCAAGAATGCAATGCTGGCTTTGATTTGATCAGAGTTCAAATCATAATGTTACACTTCTTCCATATAAAGAAAATGTCAATTATTATTTCCATTGTTTTGGTTAAATTTTTAACTATAGAGAGTTGAATGTACAGGATTGCATCATAGAGAGGCCATAAAAGTACGAGCACAACGCACCAGCGAGTGCGTGACACGCGATTCACTGCGGAAACTGCTGTTTAGCAAGCTCAGGCCAAAAAATTGGTTGAATCTGCACGCACAAAGCCTTCGAGATCAATGATTACAATTTTTTTTGGCATCTATCTTTCCTTTATGATAAGTAGTACGCTATGTGTTCACGGACCGCAAGTGATACATAATAAACATTTTGAACCAACGCTTTTATCTAGCAACATTCGTCCGATTCTATTTGAGTTCCGCGACCTTCAATACAATCAACACAATATGGAACTACGCTACATTTTAATACTGGCAAAGACAAGAAACAGGGGCACCCAACGTCAATTTTTAGAAAATATCTGTTCGGAAGACGATTTGAGATCTAGAATATTCGGAACAATTTTTGTAAAATTTCTTGTTTGTCTGCCTCTCCTAGGATTTTCGAACATCTAAAAAATGGTATAGTTGCCCATTTTTAACGGATTTTTACCCTAAAAAGGTCACCTAGAAGTATTCGGGAGCCTTTTTTTCTGGCCGAAAATTTCGAAAAGGTAATTTTTGATCCCTAAAATTTTCGGATCACTAGACTTTCAGCTACGAAAAAACATATTGGTTTCATTAGGTTGCCATGGTGACTCCATTTGCAACAAAACCTAGATAATAAGAAATTTTCATGTTTATATAATACAGGAATGTTGTGGTAGCCTTTTTCCCATATCTTTACTCATGCTGATGTAGTTAATGCTTAAACTTGGAAGGTATTCCCCCTAAAAAATCCAGTCAAGCCACCGTATTTAATTTTGTTTTCTCTGTCATACCTTTTTCTTGCAATCTTACAGAGGTAAAGAGAGATGAGGAAGTGAAGAAACCTATCAGGTCTGGATCCCCCAATGACATTAGGAACAAGGAGGATATCTCAAAAAACCATCAGAAATCTCCCCTGTACCTACTAAAGCTGTTATCCCACCTCTCAATTCTGACAATGAAGATAACAAGTGAGGTCTTATTTGCAGAAGGCGGCTATTCCTGAAGAAGGCACAGATGGTGACAGGTGAAAGAAGGGCAAAGGGACGGGCCTTGCTGGAAGCTTTGGAAAGGCCAGGCATTAGTCAGCTTCAGGTGTGGGAGTTCCTAGAGCTGGCTGATGAAAACGGACAAGTGAGACCAGCCCCTTCAAAGCAGTCTGATAAACCTTTTTTCATTCCTGAGTCTCCTTTGTAATAGTTATCCTTTTAGTTCAGCTCGTCGTTGTTTTGTTGTTTTTGTTTTGTTTTTTATCCCATTCCTCTCCTGGGAATTTTGCTGAGAAACTTGTTTTGAAGCTAGTGGCTTCGTTTTGTAGTCACTGTCTGGCTTATGAGCTAAATCTTACCAGAAGACTGTTTAAAGGCCGTGTAGTTCACAGCGTTCAGTTACAGATGCAAATTGAAAATGTTATTTTCAAAAGTTGGGGCATGCATAGAAAGCATGAGATGGTTTCGTGGTTTTAAAGTAACACAGCGGCAGTCACAAATTTCGCTTTCCCTTCTTTATTCGCTTTTATTGCTACCCTTTTTTTCTTTCAATGGACACTACTGTTACTGGCTTCATTTGGGTGGGGAAATATTGGGAAAGCTTTTAAATAGTAGGATAGCAGGAAGTGATTGGTTAATTGGAACATAATTATTTTTGCAATTTTAAATCAATGTTACATGGTTTTTTTTTTTGTCTTTTCCTCTGGCCCCTGTACTGAATATTTGTGCTCACTCTTCCGCTTCTTCAAAGCTTTCTTTGACAAGGGCATTGAGAATGGGATGAAAGCAGTGCAGTGGCTATAAGGCTAATAAATTACAGTGCATGATACAATGCCAAAGAAAATTTTTTGTTAAGTACAGTTATGAGAGGAGAAGTAATAGTAAAGACCTTTACTAGCTTGTGGTTGTTACCGCAGATGCTATGTTTCCCCAATGTAGGTCATGTGTGACGACATTTAGGGCATGGAAATCAAGCCTAGCCAAGTGATGGTGCTCCAAAAAATGCTTTCTTTAAAATTGTGCATAAGTCACATCAATAATTTTTGGACACAAGACCTATATAAATTTTAAGGTTATGATGGGTAAATTGTTGTGAGAACACCTCTTCATTCACACTGGGGGAAAGCAAAACACAAGCTAAAAGGAATTTACTGTCTCTTCTTAAGATGTTATACCACTGTCTAATATTCAGCATAAAAGCTACAATCCTGCATTGAAAGTCTTTGGAACAATGATTGAGTATTTGTAATTTATTTGTGCCCTGGCACATAGCCAGGTGCTACCCTTTTGAAAAATACCCTGTACTAAATCTATCACTGTTTCCCCACACCCTTTACATATTGAAACTGTGTGCATATATCCAACATATTTACTGTACGGTGCAGAATAGGGTTGGGCATGCATGATTTTACATGAAAAACACAAATTAACTCTAACTTGTTATAAGAAATTTGTCCATGCTTTTCTCAACAAAGGTATGATTAATAGCAATCCAACAGAGAAGGAAGGGTAAGCCTTGCTGGAAGCAGTGAAATATTGTTTCAACATGAGAAGAGAAATTTCATATTTCCGAGCGGCCATGCAATATGTTCCATTTATTTTATACCGCTGAAATACTTAACCATTTCACTTATTAAAAGAATAATTTTTTTTCTGTAAAAGGTGTGAGTTGTTATATTGTACCATAGAAGTAGTGATCTTTTCACATGCAAAGTAGACTACGTGTAGTCCCCCATTTTTCCTCAGGGATAGTAGAGCGAGCGAAACGCGAGCGGGCGTGAAAATCACCCCACGCGCGCCTTTTCTCGCGTGGGGTGATTTTCACGCCCGCTCGCGTTTCGCTCGCTCTACTATCCCTGAGCAAAAATGGGGGACTACTCGTAGTCTACATGCAAAGATAACTTACTTGTTATTTTGACATGTGAAGATATCATGTTTTCGAACACAAGCTCACCCAATATTTCATTGGCGTTTATAAAAATATGATAAAAAGCATATTTCTTTCATTTTTCGGAATCATCCAGCTTCAATTTCTGTCTACAGCTGGTTGATGTGTGAAGTGACCAGCACTGATTTATGTAATGTTTTATATAGCTTTTTATCACTTAATGTTTTTTACTAAGTATTTTCAAAACAAATAATAATTCAATATTGCTCAGGTTTAAAACTTCAGCTGTTCAATAACTTCATACATTTTGTATCCTTGTAATGTCAGTTTCAATGTTATGCCTACCACCTACCAGTATGTTTCTTTTAATAATTCTACTCAAGTGTAGCTCATATTATAGTTACCATTAAAAAACGAAGCATATACTTGTGTACTGTCCTCGTTTCGCAGGGATTTTGCCCCGTTTCATAGCTTTACCGTGCTTGTTTTGACTCGTGGCTTTAAGCGTGCCAGTCCGTCTCGAATAAAGGGCCTGGGGACTTAGGGTTTAAAGAACGAGTTATGTTAGGTGGGTACCGTGCTTGTTTCGACACGTGGGTTTAAGAACGCGTTATGCCATTCGCGTAGCGTGCTCGTTTCGGCTCATTGCTTTAAGAACGAGTTATTATTTTTGTGTAGCGTGCTTGTTTTGACTCATCGCTTTAAGAACGACTTATGTGTACCGACGTCCGTGCTTGTTTCGACTCATGGCTTTAAGAACGAGTTCTGTTGCCTGTTAGGCTTGCCATTCTCGACTTAGGGCTTAAAGAACGAGTTATGTTACACGTTCAGTGTGCTTGTTTTGACTCATGGCACGACTAGACTTCCTGACATTCCATCGGAATCGATGTGTTTCCAATGGATCCGATGGACTCCATCGGACGGCTTTCCAACCCTCCTCTAAGTATTGCTTACACTTCCGGTTTCATGTCATGACTAAACTTCCGGTAACTCAAGTGGACTCTACTGAACTTCCGGTTTCATTTTTCGACTAGACTCCGTCGGACTCCAGGTTTTGTCCACTGGAATCTGGTCGAGAGTATTGGACATGTGTGAATTTTTAGGGGATAAAAATATGCCTATGTCTACCGTTTAAATACTACAATACGTTCAACTATGCTATGTTTAAGTGGTTTTGAACTATATTCTCGTTGGGTGCCCCTGCAGATAGACAACGCTTGAGTCGTAACCCATGCCATCTTTAATAACAAGGGTAATAATAGCTCTGATCGATCCGATTTTGTCCCTGTTGTTGACACTCTTAGGCTACGTCTGGGCTGCCTGTGTTGGCACTAGCTCACCAGCAAATGCTGCAGGGATGGGAGAGGTGTGTTTGTGCATCGGGGCATTTGACCGACGGTCTGGACGCTTGGTTACACTAATCGGATAGGTAAATATGGGGCGCGATATTGCTTTGTTTTTCAGGGGTTTTTGTTCCATTCAGTGTTAATTCGACTGAGTTCTACAATATTACCCGTGTTTCTGGTCTCAACAACCCAATGACTGGCAATGATTTATAACAAGAAACGAGTCATAATTGTTGCCCTTATCTTCGCTTCTGCTCCGGCATGGATGGTTTTTGCCTACTTCACTATCACTTTCCATAATCAGGAACGCCCATCAGAGCTACAAAATGCACCTACCTTGGCAAATACTGCCCCTATAGTCATTATGGCAGCATTAAAAAATCAAACAGAAATCAACGACACAGATGACTCAGATGTAGACGAAACTCTCCATCAACTGATTGATTTTAAAGACTTGGGGAAGGATAAGAGAGCCGTATTGCTATTGATCATCGTTTCCACTGCAACAGCAAGATTTGAGAGAAGACAGGCAATAAGAGAAACATGGTGGAAACATTGTTCTGGCAATCAGACTCAGGTAAGCAGGCAAGATAGGTTCTTTGTCGCCAGTTATCTCACGATCTCACGATGATGTTTCTTTCAGTAATAACATTGGTGACGAATTACTCCTTAATTTTGGCCCGAAATTTCAGCGTTAATTTGTAATTTCACATGTGAAATTACAAAATTGCCATGGCGACCCTTCCGTACGTCTGAGTGTCAAGATGGCGACGAAGTTTTAAAATGTCATGAATGAAGATGTCAGGGCACAAAAATTAAAGACGCTTTGGAAAAACTGAACACACAAGAGAACTCAAGAAGGATTCTAAGAGGTATTTTGCCGAAAAAGTCTGAAAAATTCTGAACTTTATAAGCCAAATTTAAGGTCTAAACATTTGAGAGAGTGGAGTTCTCGATCGATACGTTCCAGGAAAGACATGTCAAAAATCCAAGATTGCTAACGTAATTCGTCACCCATGATATTAATAGGTAATCAAATGGTATACTCGTGAAATTAGGGATTAATTTCACTTGCCTTTTGTCCAAATCCTAATAATTTCCTTCGCCTAAAGGCTCAGGAAGTTATTAGGGTTTGGACAAAACGCGCGTGAAATTATTCCTTAATTTCACTCGTCACCATTTGATTACACATACTTATTCACAGCGAAATTTTCTACCAACGACGGAGACGACGGCAAAAAGCAAAAATCAACGGGTTTAGATTAGCAAAACAACAACTTTGCACGAGCAGCACCCTTTGTTTTTTGCACTTTCTTTAGTGTCGTTCAACGACCTCGACGTCAAATTCCTTATTTCCCGTTTTACACCGAGAACGTGAACAAAAGACACCGATTCGGAACCTGGATACAGTCCTTTTGGAATAAACCTTCAGAGAAATTCGCCAAAATTGGACAATTAAGGTGGCTCGATACAGTTTTTCAGAGTCAATACCTCCCAAGTTTGAGCATAAACTACGTCACCATAACCAAAGACTTGGAAAAATTGCCACCACGGTTGTATTAGATAAAGCACAGGTAACCCAGGCTCTGTGATAGTACCACAGTACAGTTCTAGTGAAATTACAGTGTTTGTATGGGGTAAAAATATGATCTTAAAATTTGTAGTAAATACTAAATATAAGTCAATGAAACCCTGCAGTTAGTTGTTGTTGTCCTTATTGCTCCAACGAAGTTGCCTAGGCCTCATTTTCTTGGCCGCCCGTTGATCTGGCCCAGTTACTTCGGCGAGCATATTCTCGGCCTTTTTGGATTACATCCTTCGAGTTTGTCAAAGTCTGCGGGATTCGTTTTTCCATCTGGGAAAGCTTCATTGGTTTCTATATCTGCTGATATCCTATTACTACGATCCTGGCATGTTTATTTTCTGTTGGAGTTCGAATTTCGTGGAAAAAGTTGTGTTGAATGAGAGCATGGCGGCGAAGATGGAATCTTTTGTCTCCTACTGCTTGTATATTATAATTGTATATAGAGTGAATTTGAACAAATTAGTACAAATTATCACGAAACTTCGTTGGAGTAATAGGGACAACAACAACTAACTGCAAGGTAAGTTTCATTGACGTATATTTAGTATTTCCTACAAATTTTACGATCGTATTTTTACCCAATACAAACACTGTAATTTTACTAGAATCGTACTGTGGTACTATCACAGAGCCTGGGTTAGCTGTGGATAAAAATGAAAATTTCTTATGATCAGGGTTGCAACTACATCGGAGTTGTCATAGCAACGAAATGACGCTATTACCTATTTTACTTGCAGCAATATATCTCGGCCGCTAGGAACTGTTCTTCCAAAATCGTTCGCGGTTGCTTTTTCCTTTAATAGCGGCCTCGATGCTCGTCAAGTTTAAGCCAAATCTGTAAGAGCGTTATCGCGACTATTATGGGATGAAGTCTTTTTTTATGGCTAGAAACACAGTTAAAAATGGACAACCTTGATGTTTGCCCGTTATCTGTACAAAACAAAGCGCTTTAGACATGCAATTTTACCTCATGGTAGTTTCAACCTTTTTAAAAACGTTTCTGAAAGATCATGGAGATAACTCCAGCCGATTGCTAGAAAGAAGGATTTGATTACTAGGTATCGAAACGCTCTTGTTAGCGGTTTTGTAAACATTTTGGTCTTCTTTAACAAATTAGCGAATAATTTTTAAACCGCTCGATACATTTTTTTTTAAAATTTAAGATTCTCGAGACTAACTTTCCTTTAATATGACCTTTTACTTTCAATATTATTGATAAATTGTAAGGCAGTAAAATAAGGGCTACAATTCGTTTTTTTTGTTCCGGGAAAGCTCGATGTGGGATTTCTATTCTATGGACATGAAGTGCTGCAAGTAGAGTGAGTGATAGTCAAGTACAAAGCTACCCGTCTAAACACATACGTAACGTAGACGGGTAGTTAAAGTTGCTTCTAGTAGTAATCGAAGGTTAAATCATTGATATCTCAAGTATTTATAAAGTGCAACACGACTTCATATCTTAACAACTACGAAAATCTATCAATTAAATACATACAACAGTAGTATAGGGTGCACCACGGTTTCCACTTTTTTGAGCAGGAATCTCATAAGCGTGAGCAGGAATAAATTAACGCCAATGACGTCATAGGCTATTGTCTTGATCTCATGAATAAAATGCGCAGGAATCTCATTAAGATAAGGTCGTGTGTTATTTTTAGTTGGTTTAGGTTTTCTAGTTACTTTAATGTCGATAGACGTCTTCCTTTTCGATTGGTTAGTTAGAAAATAAGAAACGTTTTCATTGGTTAATTCATAGTGTCTAAGGAGTAAAGTCAAACTTGTCTGTGACTTAAAATCACTGATACGTAACGTAATTATGCACTTCCTATTTCCTGCTGCTGTGATTGTCCTGTTACTTACCCCTCTCCTTTTCATTTTTTATTTTCCTCCTCCTCCACAATTTTGTTATTTTCCTAACGCAATTTTTTTATTGCCATTTTTCTTTCCTCCTCCTCCTCCTCCTCATTTCTATTGTTTTCCCTACACCACCACCAAAACCACCGCCACATTTCTATTGTTTTCCCTCCACCACCACCACCACCGCCACATTTCTATTGTTTTCCCTCCACCACCACCACCACCACCACCGCCACATTTCTATTACTTTCCCTCCACCACCACCACCACATTTCTATTGTTTTCCCTCCACCACCACCACCACCACCACCATTGTTTTCCTTCCTCCTCCTCCTCATTTTTATTGTTTTCCCTCCTCCTCCTCCTCCTTATTTTTATTGTTTTTCCTCCTCCTCCTCATTTTTATTGCTTTCCCTCCTCCTTCTCATTTTTATTGTTTTTCCTCCTCCTCCTCCTCCTCCTCATTTTTATTGTTTTCCCTCCTCCTCCTCCTCCTCCTCCACCTCCTCCTCATTTCTATTGTTTTCCCTCGAAAGGCCAAAGAGGCCGAAATCAGGCCTAAACGGCCTAAAAGGCCAAACTTGCAGGGAAAACATCAGAAATGAGGAGGAGGTGGAGGAGGAGAAGGAGGAGGAGGAGGAGGGAAAACAATAAAAAATGAGGAGGAGGAGGAAGAGGGGGAGGAAAAACAATAAAAATGAGGAGGAGGAGGGAAAACAATGGAAATGTGGCGGTGGTGGAGGAGGGAAAACAATAGAAATGTGGTGGTGGTGGTGGTGGTGGAGGGAAAACAGTAGAAATGTGGCGGTGGTGGTGGTGGTGGAAAAACAATAGAAATGTGGTGGAGGTGGTGGTGGTGGTGGTCGTGCAGGGAAAACAATAGAAATGTGGTAACAGTGGTGGTGGTGGAGAGAAAACATAGAAATGTGGCAGTGGTGGTGGTGGTGGTGGGAAAACAATAGAAATGTGGTGGCGCTGGTGGTGGTGGTGGTGGTGGTGGTGGAGGGAAAACAATAGAAATGTGGCGGTGGTGGAGGGAAAACAATAGAAATGTGGTGGTGGTGGTGGTGGTGGAGGGAAAACAATAGAAATGTGGCGGTGGTGGTGGTGGTGGAGGGTAAACAATAGAAATGTGGTGGCGGTGGTGGTGGTGGTGGTGGTGGTGGTGGAAACAATAACAATAGTAATGTGGTGGTGGTGGTGGTGGTGGTGGTGGTGGAGGGAAAACTATGGAAATGTGGTGGTTGTGGTGGTGGTGGTGGTAGTGGAGGGAAAACGATAGATTTGTGGCGGTGGTGGTGTAGGGAAAACAATAGAAATGAGGAGGAGGAGGAGGAGGAGGAGGAGGAAAGAAAAATGGGAATAAAAAAATTGTGGAAGGAAAATAACAAAATTGTGGAGGAGGAGGAAAATAAAAAATGAAAAGGAGAGGGGTAAGTAAAGCATTGATTCCAGTGTATAAAAAGAGCTAGTTTGCCTTTGCCCTCTTTAATATACACGATTTGTCCGCCAAAAATCAGTGAACCGGAACAAGGACAATCACAGCAGCAGGAAATAGCATAATTACGTTACGTCTCAGTGATTTTAAGTCACAGACAAGTTTGACTTTACTCCTTAGACACTATGAATTAATCAATGAAAACGTTTCTTATTTTCTAACTAACCAATCGAAAAGGAAGACGTCTATCGACATTAAAGTAACTAGAAAACCTAAACCAACTAAAAATAACACACGACCTTATCTTAATGAGATTCCTGCGCATTTTATTCATGAGATCAAGACAATAGCCTATGACGTCATTGGCTTTAATTTATTCCTGCTCACGCTTATGAGATTCCTGCTCAAAAAAGTGGAAACCGTGGTGCACCCTATACTACTTACAACAAAGTGAATCTATTTAACCGTGGAGTCCCAGTAACTGCGACAATATTCCCGGAAACGTAACGCCTCAATACACCACAAATAGGATTTCCCGCTATAATATTTTCTTATCCTACTCGGGGTATTTACTTCATAATACGCGTGCATAATAACGCGAAAATCAAGGGCCTCGATTCGGGGAAAATTACATCATTGCCAAACAGCAAAAACGTAATCAACTTACATGCGTCATTTCAGTCATCGCCAAAAATAAACCGCATGCTCATCACGAGACTCATTTGCATACAATAAAACTCATCACCATTCTTATCCCCAGTTTCCACGGTCTCTGCTAGGAACGCTTGGGAGCATGGCGTCCTAACTGGTGCCCACACACAAACAAAAATAAAGAAACGTCTGCATTTTTAGTCTAGCTGTGCTAAAGCAAGCTCTACTAAAAAGCTCCTCAATGAATCATTGGCGAAGGTGCCTTGGTTATAAATAGAGAAAACAGTCGTGAATCTGCTTTTCCAGAAAACGTTTAGTTTCATCATTTCATCATTTTTACCTCACCAAAGTATGGAATGTGTGTGAAAAGAGAGCTACACAACGGTAAGAATACTATTGACCAACAACATACAGAGCAGGGGCAGCTGTAGTGTCAACTATGTATGTGTAATCAAATGGTGACGAGTGAAATTAGGGAATAATTTCACGCACGTTTTGTCTTAGGCTCGGGAAATTATTAGGATTTGGACAAAACGCAATTGAAATTATTCCCTAATTTCACGAGTATACCATTTGATTACCTATTAATATCATGGGTGACGAATGACGTTAGCAATCTTGCATTTTGACATGTTTATCCTGGATCGTATCGATGGAGAACTCCTGCACTCTCTCGAACGTTTAGAGCTTAAGTTTGGCTTAAGTGGTTCAGAGTTTTTCGACAAAATACCTGTTAGAATCGTTCTTGATGTGCTCGTTCGTGAGTTCAGGTTTTCTAAAGCGTCTTTTTGTGCCCTGACATCTTCATTCATGACGTTTTAAAACTTCGTCGCCATCTTGACACTGAGACGTACGGAAGGTTGCCATGGCAATTTTGTAATTTCACATGTGAAATTAGAAATTAACGCTGAAATTTCGCGCCAAAATTAAGGAGTAATTCGTCACCTATGATATTATACTAGTAATACATGTACTCTAGAGAACCGTTTCTTTCAAATTTCGTCTTATTCTCGTGCATATCTACGCATAATTTATGAAAAGACAAAGGTTCACGTTCCCCTGAGAGCTCTATTGGGAAAACAAAACACACAAGCGAAAGAGGTCTATTAACGGGCCCGAAAAGCTGTTGTCGTTTACATTAAAGCTCGAGGTTTCAGTAGGTTTACAGATAATATGATAAAACTATCAGTATATAATCTGAATATTTGATTTCGGGCCCGTAAAGTTACCGGGACTTTCGAGAAACGGGCCCCAGGAGCATAGTCCTTGGAGTCTCGGTTCGGTCAATCCTGGGCCGGGTTGTTCAAAGCAGGGTTAAGATAACCCAGGGTTAGTGCGAGGTATAAATTCAGATATGAAAGCTTAAAAATCAAATTCAGTGTAATTCTTTTAGCCTGTAACGTACTAAATTGATGCTCTATAACGAATAGTGAAAATTATCCGGGAAAATGCTTTTGAACAAAAGAACAAGAAACCCAGAATAAACCTTAATCCTGAGTTACGATTAATGGGCTTTCGAACAAGTGGGCCCTGGAGTCTACTATGAGCTGTGACGTCATCGACAGAGACTCGCCCGCTCTTTCCCAGACTTCGCGCGGACAACGGGCAACACAGAACGCCTAGGGACTAGGCTGGGGTCCCAGGGCTTTTCTCTTGGACTCTGGGAGGGTCCCATCCCAGATTTACACGAGAAAGGCCCTGAAGATGGCTTACACGACACCCGAGACATAAGGGCAGTTCTGACCTCGTGGGTGTAACTTGAATTTTTCTTTCTTTAGGTGGAATGCGTCTTCATGACTGATGGACTCATAACAGACCAAATTCAACATAACCTTATTTTAAACGAAAAGGATAAATACAAGGATATTAAGCTTCAGCCTCTTAAAGGAGGCCGTGGGTGGTTTGGATTCCGCTTCCTTAACCAAATCAAATGGGCAGCGGCGAAATTTAACTTTCAGTACCTACTTAGAATTGATGATGACTACTTCTTGTGCCCAAAAAGGCTTCTTTCTGAGCTTCCATTGAGACCAAAACAAAATCTAGTTTGGGGATTTTTCCACTGTGAAGCAGGAATCACATGGGTGAATGAAGCATTTATGATATTCTCCGAAGATGTTATTCAGAAGTTCTTGGCGCAGAACGAAAGCTCGATGTTGTGTCATCCACAAGCGGACCAACAAGTCATGTTGTGGCTGAGCAGTATTCTAAACATAACATACTTCCACGATACCAGGTTACATCATCAGCCTCCAGCGTCATATGTTCCTCGATTTAGTCACATCTCGAATGTTTGTGACTCCCATTTAGGCGCGCATGGGGCATATGGCGAGACCATGTATTATCTGGGGCTAAGAGCTAATGACAACGCTAAAGATGTTTCAGCTATTCCTGATTTTGCAAAATTTTGTAAAACCACAAAGTTTGATCACCGTGTATTTGGTGGTGTGTGGCGACATGAACCCCAGCCCTGCAAAGATAACCCAGCGTGGGACTTGGGAGATAAAATGTGGTTTGGTAGGGAAGTTGTTCAAGGAGTGTAATCTGGAAATTAATTTTTTAAAAAATAAAAACGATAGAGGGCCGTGTTTTACAGGATGTCAAAGAGTGGAATTTCCTTGTCATGTTTAAATTCAATGGTAAATAAAAATTTGATACTGTTGTGACTATTCAAATGCTGCGAGAACCTTTAGCACAATGACGCCTTAACCTTATATATATATCAACGCGCCGAAACCAAACTAGAAGAGAATTGTTAAACAATAAAAATGGAGGCGATGAAAAATGTTCGTAGTGCGCATGTTTTTGACTTAAAATTATTAAAGGACTTTTATTTGGTATTTGGGATTTATTACAAATTTCATTTGATTCGGGAATTATCTATAGGTGAAGGGAAATATCATAAAAAAAAAACAATTTGACTTATTTTACTTGGTGTTCAACTCCTACGCATCAGCACTGATCAAACGACATCCTCTCCCGAAATGAGAAAATGATTTCTGTTGATTCAATCTCCTTGGTCTTGTTGAAGGATAAAGTTGACTGAAGAGTTACGTTAGAGTCACTTGTGGCATTTGCCACGATATATGTTTTTAGATGAGTTGTTGTAAGCGTTCTTGTTGATTGGTTTGAGTAAGCTACTTCACTACTAGTAGGTTTGGTTCCTAAGTTAATTGATGATCGATAGAAAGTTTCTCCTGACATGAATTCAGTGCAAAGGAGATGTACCAATTTGGTGCATCTCCGCAGTAATACTTCTGTTCATGAAATATGTTTCATTAGAGCCTTTGGCAGATGACAAACCCTTGTTTATAATATATAGATTTAGCCAGGGCTAAAAGCGAGGCTCCCATTAGTAAATTTATAATTTAAATTAAACAATAAACTTGTATTCGAATTCCACAATTCAGTTAACTTTAGAGCACATTTATGTGACTTTTGAGGGAAAGGCTACCTGATTTTAGAGAAAAATAATTTGCAAACAGCCCAAGAGTGAACCAAATCTTACATCGAGTTGATAGCCTCATATGTACACTCAAAAACTGGTAATTCTGGTAACTCATGTTTTATCACATTTAAGAGCCGTAATGGCTATTGATCACCGTAGATCAATTAGGCTTAGAAAAAAAAATCAGGCCAACGTTTTGGCGTTCGACAAGTTTACTTTGCAAAATCTTGCCAACAAATCTGGGTGCGTGTAAACCAACCTTTATACCATGGACAGAAAGCAGTATTTCACAATACAAATTGCTCTCATTCAATATTCATAAACTGTTAAAAAAATTTTCCAAAATCACCTATACGGCCATCCGGTTCTCACTTTTGTAGTGCGAGCTGTAGCGAGTGTTTGAATGAACATTAACAGAGTTACGCTCCAAGATAATAAAGAATTTATCATGTTTATTTTTTATTTGATGGTTTAACGCGCGGCATTTTGAGAACTCCTGCAAGCGATGTTCACTGAACTACTGAAAACAATCGGCATAGCGATTAAAATTGCAAGAGAGACTACCAACAATCAATAAAAGAAATATAATTCGGTGAAACATAAACAGAGACAACAATTTTCATTCAGGAAGACAAGTATTAAAGTGTCCCTAAATATCCCGAGTCTTCAAGCTTCAAGCTTAAGTTTGCTGAAGTTTATGTTTCAAGCCAGCTTCCCGGTGTTTGTTTTTTCAAAGACGAACTCGAGGCAAGAAAATCGCTCAAAGCTTTCTTTTCCGGCTAGAATTATAACTAAAGATTCTTTGGAACATTTTCTTTCTATTTGCGGTGAGAAACTGTCTAAAGGCTTTTTAAAGTTCTGTAAGATTATATCAAACCAGATACTCGGTGAGATCGTTGTCTCAAAACTTACAAACGCGCATAAACTAAATTCCCGCATAAACTACGCTCCACTTCATTAAATTAGATACAAAAAACAAACATGAAATACAATAATTTCTCTGGCTTACCATTCGAGATGCAGCTCCTGAAAGTTATCAGGTAAAGCCAGTATCGCTTCAGACTTTGCAATCCTCTTACGCATCAAGCAAGGTGAAAACGAAAACGATGCCATCCGAAATCGGATTTCCGACTTTGACAAGCGACGTTTTCTCAACCAAAACCCAATAAACAAACTAGCCATGAGTAACAGAAGACTCCTGATAGCAGCTGAATTTCATTTTGTACATCCAGTGGAAAAAGACAGTTAAAAACATCACAAGTTGACACAAAACTCCGTCAGCTTCAGCTGTTAAAGTAAACAAGATTCAAGATGCTGCATAAATTTTGCGCATGAACTCACATGTCAAATTTTGACCAATCAGAGCATAAAAATTGGACGTAGAGCGTGACCAACGCGTGACCATTGTGAGAAAAAACAAAAGCAACTGTCTTCCCTGCCTGTAACAGCTGGCTGAATTTTCACGTCCGAGGTCAGTTTGCAATCAAAATTTTAATTGTGCAGCACATAAACACAACATATTTCATATGAATTAAGAAAAAAAATTGAACTTGAGCCTGCGATCACTTGAAAACTAGTTTACTTGTCAGCGGATAACTTCAAAAAATACTTGACCTCGACGGGTCGACACCTGAGCCCGCGATACGGTCAAGTGATACTGGTCAGCGGGTACTCTGTTTTGACAGCTGTCAATTGATCAAAACATTAATGTCCAATATGTGTGCATTATCAGTTTTCCTGTGCTCCCAAACTAGTAAAAGTATGAGATTGAACGTTGTTCGCGATCTAGTAAAACAGTTAACTGGTCAGCGGACAGCTTCCAAATAAATCACGTCACCTCGATGAGTTGACACATGAGCCCGCGATATGTTCATGGGATACTGGTCAGTGGCTATCCTGTTTGGACAGCTGTCAATTGACCATATTGTTAATGTCCTATATTAAAGATGTGGGCTTGCCAAGACACGCCTGAGACACCCCTCCCTTCCTTTTGATAGTCTCCCCTACCCCACCCATACAATCTGTAGACGCGTACGTACGTACGTACGTACGCTCGGTCAATCACGTGACAACCAAACGAAAAGAGGTTGACCATATTCCATGGGTATGGGGCTCTGTCCCACGCGCGCTTCGCGCGCGCGGGAGCCCCGCTATTAAGTGTTTTGTCCAATTTAACATTTTTGACCTTAATCTGGTCTTCCTTCGATATTTACCAGGAAATGACTACCCTGTTTGTTTGTAACAGTTTTAAGCGTGTTTCTTTGAGTTTTTAACCGAATTCTTGGCAGTGGATAACTTTAATTGGGCTTAAGTGATTTTATAGGTGTTTTTATAGTTAAACAACTATTGTTTTAAATTCTGCGTTGTACTTTGAGCTGCATTTTTAATTTACCCTTTGAGTTTGCAATCACGTTCGTGGTTAATTGATGGAAAAATTTTAGCCAATCATCTTCGATGAAGAAGCTTATCTGCAAATTGACAACAACCTTAGATTTTCAAACTGTAATTTTAGTACCTTCCTATCTGTTAATATGAAAAGTCTGTTTACTAGTATATACCTTGTAGTTTTTATATCGTTGTCCTAGTTTTATATTTGCCAGTTGACTTAAGCTTAATAGTGAAAACTTCGGTTGAAGAGTCATTTCGACAAAGCAATTATCTCGAAGGTTTTATGCTAATGAGACTGTTTTAACCAATCGGATCAGACTTACGCCAGCATTCGGTTTGCACTAAGCAGCTAGTTTCCTGGCTGATATAAAAATGGGTGTAACACTGATTTAGCAGAGAATTGTAAAATAGAAGTTGAGTTAGCTTCGTGACATTGGACTAAAGAATAAAAAGGAGTCAATTGAACAAAGTAATCGTCTGTTTGTTGTGAGAACCAGATAGTTCCCCAGAAAGGCTCTTCAACAGAATGACAAACTTTCCCGTTCATGACCCATCTAGTTCTTTTAAATTTTAAGAAGAGAGTTACCGACAGGTATTTAGCCAGCATTTCGAGCTAAGTTTGATGGAAGTTGTGCTTATTTTCGGTAAAGTTAGCGAGTTTATGATTTTTTGCATGTTGCAGTTCGCTGTATATAACAAATTTTTCCTGTGCCTTATTTTGGCCTTTGAAAACTGATTTACACCCAGTCCCGTTTTAACTTGGCAAATAGTCATTTCCCAGGTTGTAGGTGAATCCTTTTTCACATGTTTTTTTTTCTTATTGGCATATGGTTATCGTTATCTGATGAAGTTAATAAAATAATTTTTTTTTTTTTATTGAAAGAGCATACCAGTTTCAGTTATCTCTCAAAATTTGAGCCCGGTGTACCGAATAGGTCCCGAGAAAAGCCCAAAATTGACAAAGATTAACGTTTTGCCACCCAACAATTTAGCAGTATTTGATTGCTGCTATTTCCTTTGTTACTGATTACAAAAAGCTAAACTTGCACAAACTGCTCATATTAACCACCTCTTTCAATTTTTTAACTTAATAGTGAATTTCTATCCTACGGAAATGGACTTTTAATACTTTTCATGTTTTTGCAAAAAAAGAGAAATTTTGTTGTCTATGCACCTATAAAACCAACCAACATGTGCAAAAAGGTGAAGTTTTCGCTAAAGGAAACTTCAACTTAAGAGCCAATGTCTGTAATTTTCGAGAATCGGTTGACAGTCGTGAATTTTTGAATTTCTTCATATTCTGCCCACATAATCTCTATAGTACACTTATTTCAAAAATCACATTAAAACTTGTAACGGCTTTTTATTTTTTCCTGAATCGGGCAAAGTATGAAAAACACCAAATCGGCGCTCTTTCGAGTATGAAATTAGCGAAAATTAAGCATTTTCTTCGCGCTCGTACATAAAAACGGGACGATATCTCTAAATGAAATCAAGTCACAAGGAAAACACAGACTTGTACTTTATAATTCTGCAATTATCTTTAGATAAGCTGTTTAAATGTGACTGTGTTGGCCGCAAGAAGAAACACGATTTCGCCTGTTTTCAAAAATGGCAAATTTGACCTAACTTCACCATCGAAAAAAACAATTGATACACGGAATTTCAACATGAAACAAACACTATTTTAAAGCACATCCTTTGCCG